GGAGGGGATGTGGTGCTCAGGGAGAAAGTGGCCCACCATGGGCTGCCCCAAAGCTAAGTAGGGCCAGACCAAGCCCTGGTCACTTTTAAGCAGTTTTCCTTCCTGGCCTCTGACAATGTCTTGTGATTTTCCTATGAATGTGACGGAGAAGTGTGGCCTGGAGAACAGTAAAGTCGGCTAGACTTAGTGAGGTAAAAAAAAGTGTTCAAAAGCCTGACAGACAGAAGTATCAGTGTGGGGAGGCTGGCTCTGTCTAACAGTTTCCCACCTTCTTATCTGGGACTTGAATAAGGACATAAAGGGTTGGTCACCAGATCTGCAGATGACACTTGCTGGGAGCAGCCCACATGTGACAGACTCTGTTCTTGAGCCAGCCCCTTCCCAGTCCAGGGCTGTCTTGGCTCGGCCCTCCAGAAGGAGACCTGTCCACCCTAAACCTCCAGCCCAGGGGAATTTTCTTTCTCAAGATTTTCATCTCTGAAAGGGCAGGGTCCTCTGTGGCTTTAGTTTCAGGGCAGCCCTCTCTGACTTCTGATTGAAAAGGCTGCCCCTGAAGCCCCTCGGGCCCTTCTAGAGGTGGCTGCAAACCCAGAGAGGGCATATGTGGGTCCTGAGCAGGGCACAGCCTGACTTTAGCCCAGACCTCTGCAGCCTGGTGCAGGTCAGCCTGACTGAGCTCACTGGACTACTGAGCATCGCGAGGGATTGTTCCTCACCTTCCTGGGTTGGATGGGGCCTGGCTTGGGAGCCTGAAGCTTTGCTCCTAGCCCCTGTGCAGGGAGACCCAGCCACAGGGCTGCTCTTTTTTCTTGGCAACCCTGGACACTCTCGACATTTTCTCAACTCCATGCATGGCCCTTTCCTGGATGTTGGCTCCTGGGTCCTCCCAAAACACCTTGAGGTCAGCAGGTAGAGTGGTTAACAAACATGTTTATTGCCTGGAAGACAAAGTCTGGGTTAGGGGCTTACCCCGTCCCTTAGTAACTGTGTGACCATGGATGAGTTTCTCATCCTCATAGAGCCTATTTCCATGCTTGTAAAACGGTAAAACATGAAAATAATAGATCTTAATCTCACATAGTTGCTATAAGCACAATTAGAGGATCAAATCTGTGTCATTGTTATAGCAATGCCTGGCACATGGGTCGGTGCTGCGTGTGTGGGAGCTGTTATTATCATGGAATTAGTTATTATCCCCTTTTTGCAAATGAGGAAACTGGCTCAGAGAAATGAAATGATTTTCCCAAGGTCACACAGATGGCAAGTAGCAAAAACTAAAAGCCACATTTTCCGGCTAAGGAAGGGCCATTTATAAAATATCTGCAGGCTGTACCATAGGTGGAGGTCGAGCCCAGAGAGCCAAGCCCAAGCCAAGCCTAGGGGACTGGGCTTCAGTACTGCGCAGGAGCTGTGTCCTCCATCTTGCCAGGACAGAGCAAACAGTGGGAAGCTTGTAGAACCTATAGATGCCTGTGCTCTATCCTGGCCTTAAATGACAATCTTGGGCATGGGGGCACTGATCATTTTACAAACTCCCTGAATGAGTCTAATGTGGGACCCACCTGAGAACTGCTAAACTGGAGGGTCTCGGAGGCAGGAGGTAAACAGGATGCTGGAGAGAGGTACAGAAACCAGAGCCAGAGGATGCCTAAAGCAAAGGGAGCTGGGGCATCACTGAGATTCTCATTGCACAGAGGGGAAACTGAGGCCTGAGAGAGACTTAGTGGGTCCAAGGTCCCATGGAGAGTTAGCAGCCTGTTGCCTCCTCCCCGTCTCGGGCCTCTGGCCCGCAGACAGCCCCTCCTTCCTCTCTGGGCTGAGCACGGAAGGAGCCACAGCCTGGGCGGCTTGATTTCTGGCAGGCTGAATGTGTGAGTTTTTCAGATGGCTTTGACTTTCGAGTCCATTAGTGATTAATTCAGAGTTCCATTTAGAGCCAGCTGATCCATATTTGGAGGAGGAGAACATTTTGTGGCAGCCGATATGCAGCCAGGATTCATCTGCGGGCAGCTTGCCCACTCAGCAGCACGGGAAGGCAAAGTCTGAAGTCTGGGCAGGGTCCTGCTCCAGCACCCCCAGAGGGCTCCCCAGGGGTGGGGCCAAGGGGCTCTCACCTGGGGAAGGGCGGACCTGTTAGGGCTGGACAGCACTTCCTGAAGAACTTGATTGGGTTCAGCCCTCCACTTGTTTCCTCCCAGCTGAATGACTATGAGCAACCCCCTACATTCTCTGAGCCTCAGTTTACCCATCTATAGAAAGATGACCCTTACACCTCTCCTGTGGGGTTATTGGGAAGATTCAATGGCATGATGTGTGTGAACCCAACCAGTGCACAGAGCTTGGTCGGGAGAGGCGGTGTCCAGGGCTGGGGATCCCTTCTCTTTCCCTCCAAAGTCCTCAGCACCTCCCTTCTCTTGGGGAGAAGGCCTTGGTGTTTGTGCCTCTGGCTTTGCTTGCCTTTGCATGACCTTAGCCGAATTGTTTTACCTCCTTGACCTTTGATTTCCTCTATATAAAAGAGATAATGGTCCTTTCCTTGCAAGTCTGTCATGGAAAATGACAAATGTCCTTGAGAGTTGGCAGCATACAGCAGGCACTCCCAAAGCTCCCCATGTGGGGGACAGAAGTGGGAGTGGCTCTGGGCACAGGCCATAAGGGTGCATTGCCTTAGGAAATTTATAAAAGTTAATAAAACTTAGTTTTTGTTGCAAACTGGCTTTATTGAAAGTTGATCTGTGTTTTCTTATCACCTAGTGCCAGAAATTCTAACAGTAACAGAGAGAAAATGCCCCTTTTGGCCACCCTTGCTGGCCCTGCCCCTGTGGGCAACTGACACTTCAGCAGTGATGGCTCCTTCCTCCCTGTTGGTCTGCAGCGCCCACCCTGCCCAGCTACCTCCTGGAGGATGTCTCCCCCACCCTTTCTGCACCCTGTTTCCTGCTCACCCTGCACATGAGCCATCTCTAGTGACATTTCGGGGCCCTTAAAGGCCAGCAGAGACACAGCATTCCGCCTGCATATTCCCACACCCTGCCAGCTCCTGTCTGTCAGGTCCTCTCCGGAGTGGGCATGGTGCCCTTGAAAGAGAATCATCTCCCCATTGGACAGAGTCAGGATTTGAACCTGGGTCTATCTGCTCAGGGAGGTCCAACAGCTTGCCTTGATCCCCTGATCTGCTAGATTGATTTGTCAGCATACCCATACCAGCAGGAGACAGCTAGAGTACTCAGTGGGGTCTTTGAAGGTGATTTATAGTGAAAGAACTATGGGAGGAAAACATCTAGAAACATCTATGAGCCAGGCCTTAGGTGCCCATTGAAAGCTGGAACTGTGGAGGCCGGCCACTGGGCTATGGCCACAGCAGGAGGAACACAGGTGCTGCAGAGCCCTGCACAGCTGGGAGCAGGGAGGACAGACCTCGGCCTCGCTGTCTCATGCCGCCAACCTCCTGTTGGTGCTTCCCTTGAGCCAAAGCCCTCTGTAAGGTACAGATCAGCCTCCAGGTTGCTGGGCATGGGCCTGGGAAGGGTGGGTGGTGGGCAAGCAGAACTCACCTTGCTTTCCACTCTCCTGTGCCTGGGATCTAGACAGTGAGCTGTGAAAAGTTGAGTGGCTGTGTTGTGGGGCGTTGGGTCTCCCCTTACCCTCATCAGGGCCCCAGGAGGGCCGACTTCTTTACCTCTGAATTCTACCCACAGATTCACCCCTCAAACTCTCCACTTAGTCACATGTCCCTAAATTCCACCAATTAGAGACTCATTTGAGTCAACAAACCATAGGGGCTGACAGTCACACGTGTGCATATGAGCAGTTCCAACAGCTTGCTGGTGGCTGGGTCGGGCTGAGGTTTGATGGGAGAGAAGGGAGGGCTGGGGATGGGGTAAGGACGGAGGGGTCAGAGTGGAGCATGACAGGGATGTAGAGGGAGGAGAGAGCAGCCTGCATCAGGGTGGCGGGCTCCCGGTATCACAGTCTAGGTCTGGGTCCGGCAA